TGTTGTTGATGTTGAAAGTGCTTCTTTAAGTGTACGTTGATCATCATCAGACATTGTTGGTTTATAATTATATAAATTCATTGCTTTAAGCATTTGTAAAAGAAGAGTTTTTAATACATTAAAATTCACTGCACCTGCCTCAGGATCACCTAACGACAGGTGAACTAACTGTTCAAGTGAAAGGATATCAGCCATCTAAAGCAAGACTAAACCTAATTATTGAGGGTTTTTGTTTGTTACTATGTATATGTATATATATATGTGTGTAGGTGAACGTCTGTTCTTGAAGTAGAAATAATTTTTTTTTTGTCAAGAAGGTTTTTTAATCACTCAGTCCAACAACATCGGAAAGAAATGCAAGAGCTCACAATCAACTTTTTCTTTTTCATTTGCTTGTCGTTGACGTTCGTCTAACATACGACAAACTCTTTTTTCTTCTTCTTCTCTTGCTGTCACCTTTCCGAACGATACATACTTCACATTAGAGATGCTTTTCTCTCTCATTTTTTCTTTCTTTCATTCTTCTTATGTGACGATGAATTCAATATTACTTATAAGAAAAAAATATATAATCAACATGATAACTTTTGTTTGAAGAAAATTTAAAAAAAAAAAAAGAAAAGAAAGAATTCCTTGTCTTCAGTCAACCATTTGCTTTTTCTTTTTCCATGGTTCGATCTCTATTAATGAAAAGAAAATCATTTGACGTCTAGCGCCACTGTTTAAATTTCATTTTACCAAAAAGACAAAAAAAAAGTTCATATAAATCCATATTTCAATTTCAATACAACAATGAATCTTCAATAGGATCACTTGTTATAAGATAGATAAAAAGATTAGATATATGAGCTATATTTGCAAAAGAATTTTGCATATATATTGATGAAATATATTCCAACAATAGGCCATTATAACTTATTTATGTCAATGACTTTTATATATTTATTAAAATGTGCTAATATTTATTCAGTCAACAATGAATTTAATTTTTCTGGTATCTATGCATTGATGTTGTCACAATCAAATCAAAATAACATGTGTGTTTATAGTCATTTGAAACCTATTAAAAACTTCGTCATGACAAAAAGATTTCATAAAATTCGAATACTTATTTATCATTGAAACCAAAACAAAGCTTATTCAAATTTGATTTAAATCTCTATAATATAGATAAAATTTATTATGCAATAATTTAAAACATGTACTTGATTTACATATGTTATATTGCAATATGTTTTAGATGATCAACAAGTAAAAGAAAACAATTGTTATTTTTCCATCGGTTATAAATAGAACAATTCACTTTTTTTTTTTGAAATATATAAATATTAAATAAGCAAACATTCGTTCTCAGAAGTGATGCTTTCACACATCGATATATTCTTTCATTTTTGTAAATACAAAATCAATATCAACATCTTCATCTTTTATTGCTGATTATAATAATTACGAAAAAAACTCTTTTTTTTTTTTTTTTTTTTTAATAATGACAAGAATAAAACATGTTTTCTTGTATAAATTGATGACGAAGAGATAAATACATACCCAATCAGGTCTAGATGAAGCATACACAAGCAAAAAGAAAAAAAAGATTACAACAACAAATAGTTCGAACCAAACATATTAATCATAACATGATTAAAGTCTTTTTAGTTAAATGAATGACACCGGTATATTTTATTAATCTTGAGCGTCGAGTTCAACTCTAAAAAAGACAAAATAAGATAATCAATTAGATAATAAAAGAACACATGTCCGTAAACTACTGCTTACAAGCCAATGTTTCCAACTGTCAAATTACTTTCCGTTAGTGATTATTCTTATTCGATTGATCATGATAAGTAATGAAAAAAATTTGATTTTTCGATTTTCACTTCTCGAGTTGTGCGCGTTTTACTCGGTTAGTATACAATCATTGAGAACTTAAATGATGAAATTTTGTTTATAGATAGACGTTTGATCTATGACAAGTATCCTTATCGACACGAAACAGATATTTCTTTAAAATGTAAATACTTTGATAATGATTGTTCGTTCTGGCTTAAACTTTATAGTTTCTAGTAAATAAAAGTTTTCTCTATGGACGAAATTTCAGAAAACCAGCCTCGTTAACTATGAATGGAGGGGTAAAGTCAATCGTAGTGTTTTATCCAGATTTTCTCTTCCGTAGGAGCAATTTAGAACTCCGGTAGGACAGATATATAATGCATGGCGCAAGAACTACAAGCTCTTAGAATAGTTCGCTAATGAACCTATGAGTTTACTTCAGTATTTTTTTTCATCGAGATTTTCTCTTCCGGGAGAGGTGGAACAGTCAAGTCTGTATAATCTACCCGTATGCGCGCCTACACGCATAGAAGGAAATTTTATGAGATATATTGTTTATATGAAAACTTTTTTTTTATGCAGAAAATTAGCTAATAAAGTTAATGCTTAACATGAAAAGTTTTAAGGCATAGTTCAGTTATGATAAATCGTTTTTGTAATGATCAAATACCAAGACTATCGGTATTATTCGATACTTCATAAGATTAATTCATTTTTTACATATATTTTTAAACAGATTGTTTATAGTAGAGAAAATTTTTGAAGAATTTTTCATTTTAGCGACAAATTCTACGCCCCCTGGCGAACACTTATTGTTAGAAGTAAGAGATCATATCGATAGCTTATTGTAGGTAATACTGTTCAACTATAGGAAAAGTTTCCCGAAAAGTCTGAGCTCGATTCATTGATATAATACTGAATTTCGGTCTATAATGGTTATCAAGCAGTTTTTCATCCCTCGAATAGTCATTATTCTCTAGCAGGGAGAAACCGTCTGATCCATAAAACCTTTTCTTTTCAGAAATGTAAAGTTCGAATGACAAACAAGTGCTCTCCATTGTAGTCAAGCAATCAAGGCAAGCTAGTGGCTCTGATCTAAATTCTTCGTAGATTATATACACATCAATTTTTAGATCTTCAGTACTTGAGATCTAATAATAAGGAAGAAGAACTATAAGCTTCAATCTTCGGATGGACACCACTGATTTATTTTCTTATTAATTCATAACAATTCAACATAAAAAAATTCGATTGACTTACTCAGCTCGATTATCATCTGTATTACCAGGACGATTATCACCATTGGGTGTTGTTGATTGACGACGCTCATTACTTGGACTACGCGAACTCTTTTTTCTAAAAACAAAAAGAGTCTCTTCTAAAATATCTAAATAAAAAATATTTACTTACCCATTATCTCGATGTGATGAATGATTGTCACTACGATCTGAATTTGATGAAGAATGACGACGACGTTTATGTTCACGTTTAGATGTTTTAGGTCGTTCTTCTCGACGATTATCTTTTTATTTTTATTAAACAAAAGAAAACCTCATATTCAACATAATAGACAAAAAAAAAAGAAAGAAAGATTACCACGAGGTGATGGTGAACGAGGACTTCGACTTCGTCGTCGACTACTACCACCAGATCGTCGATAATATGGACTACGTGAACGACTTCTATAATATACCAGACAAAAAAAAATAATACAAAACAGCATAATAAATATTTAACAAAAAACAAAAAAAGCTAAACTTGAACAAAAAAGATAAAATTCTTAAAACAGGGATATTGAATCATTTGATGATTGACGTCGATCGATCTGTCTAATAAAATATTTATGTACTCTAATAACATACCTTGTTATGGTTTATTTCTTTCTTTAAATTTTCTCTGCCAAAGAATGTGACTATTAATACATATGGATCGATCCACCCAATTAAGGTAGAAGAGACACAAATAGAAGAGAAGGAGAAGAATGAACAAAGAAACAAGAATCGAGCACAAAACCAAATTATTCATTTTAAAACTGCTGCTGCTGCTTCTATTCCACCCAAGTCAATCATTTTCAACCATTAATCATCAACAGCTAGAAAAATAATCAAATATATATCGAGAAACACAGCAACAGATTAATAAACTATTTCTCATAAACATAGAATTTTTCCATTAATTAAAATGATAGATAAATATTTGGGAAACACAAAAAAAAAAATTAAAAAAAAATTAAAAAATCAAACTACCGTGAATTACGACGACGACTACTACCATATGAATCTCGATAACTACGACGATGTGGTGATGGTGAACCTAAAATATAAAATAAAATTTACGAAAAAAAAAATTAAATAATTTTCATTTACGATAACGTGATCGTCCACCATAATGTCTTGCTCGAGCCCAACTTAAACCAATTCGTGAACCAGCCAAAATTCTATATATAAATATAATTATAATATTATTCTATTTGAACAAAAACAAACCAAGAAACCGATATCTTACGTTCCGTCAAGCTCTTTTATTGCTCGTTCACCATCAGATCGATGACGAAAATTAAGAAAAGCAAAACAAGGTGGATTAGATGCAACCCAAATCTAAAGAAATTTTCATTAAACAAAAAAAAAAAAAACAATCATTAAATAGAATTTCAAACCTCATTTAATGGTCCATATGGACGAAAAATTTTTTCAATTTCATGTTTACTAACACCAACAGATAAATCCGATAGATGTACACGATTACCAGTTTCACCATCCTGAAAAAAAATTTTTTTTTTTTTTTATAATTCAAATATTAAAATTAAACACATACCCATTTCTTTGATCGTGCTGTACGGCCTGAACCAGTTGATGAAAGTGAACTTTCACGATCTCGACTACGACCCATTGAAATTTCTTATATAAAGATAACACAAGAATCTAGAACAACAAACAGACACTAATCATCAAACTTAATACAATACAGAAGAGAAAAAAAATTTTCGTTTTTTTTTTTTTTTTTTTCACAAGACATCATTTAGTTAAACAAAGAAAACCGACAACAAAAAGAAAATGATGTTATAATTGAATTATAAGTCCTGTGTACATATTTCCAAAAAGAAAAAAGCAAGACAAAAAAAAAAAGAGAGAGAGAGAGAGAGAGAACTATATGATTCCTATCGAATGATATAATTAATCATCATTTTCTTTATATCTAAACAAAAAAAAAACAAAATTGATAATTAGAAAAATAAAGTAAAATATGTTTTACCTATGAACAATATTTGCTGCTTGTTGTTGTGGTGATCGATCTCTTGATGATGGTCGATTACGACGTGCTCTATATAAAATAATACATAAAAGTAAAGCTTGTTTTACAAAAAACAAACATGACTTTCGTGAATATCAGGTATAAGGTAATGCATTGATTGGCGGCTTACACCTCTAGTCGGATTTATCCACGCGATACAAACCGAACAAAAACAATTGGTAGATCATTCGATATGATGTGCGCTATTTGCTGTTAGTGAAAAAAAACCACCGATAGGGAGCTGCGGGTTCATGGTTTTGTGACGTCGGGACTCAAGTCTCAAATGACCCATCGCTTTATAACCGCCAATAGTGCAAACAAATGCGTAACATTAATAATATCATGGTTAAATAACTCTTTTTCTTTTCGAGTAAATATTATTAATCTCTTATTTCTGATACTATCAATGAATCAGTTCGTTATTATTGTAACTAATACTTTCAGGTAAGTTAAATCTATAAAAAGTTAGAAAATCAATAAAGAATATTTTTCATATAGAATTACTAAAGTACTTTTCTGCACTTTGAAATCGATGTTTGTTAAAAATAGTTCATTCGACAAGTCATAATTAAATTTTTTTTTCTTTTTTAACTTGTGCACATTCAAAAGTATTTTCTTATGTAGTAAAATAAAGCTCAACTCGTTTCAATAAATTGTCATTTTAGTATACAAAAAAATCAATATCCAACAAAAATATCGAATTGACTAGCAATTACGTTGATTATAAAATTTCGTACTCCAAGGAAATTTCGCTACCTGGCTATCCCAAAAATTTTTTATATAAAACATTGAGAATTGCCTCTGTTTCTTAATCACAATACATTCGATCGAGTTCAAACTTTCTTTTAGTTACATTAGAAAGTATTCATAGTACCTACTATTTCTTTTTTTATTCGAATGAAAAGAAACCAAAAAACTTAGGCAACCTAAACAGTGTCTAGCATTAGGAATTATCTATCTATGATAATTTTTATTCTACCTATTGAGATCTATCTATTCTAAAAGTTTTCAAAAATTTCCTAATGAACTATTCTACAGAAGTGCGGTTCCCTTAAACTTTACAAACATGTCAACATCGTACTATCGAATTTTCTCGAAAAGATGAATTCTTTTACTAATACCATATACTTATTAAATAAAGTCTTTAAGGCCGCTTTCCCTCGTCACAGCAATACGGGTCGAAGACGAATGAATATGTTCGTCTGAGCAAAATGGCGAAAGGGAAAATTCAGCAAAACGACTGTAAGAAATTTTCCATTTGTATATTAGTATAAAGAATACGTATGAGTTCGACATTTTATCACTACGTTGATAAACTTACTTTGGTGATGATGATCTTGATTTGGGACGATAATCACGTTTATTATGTTGAACTGGACTACGTGATCGTGAATGTCGTCGTCGTCGATCATTATATCTATATATATATATATATATTCAAATAAAAAAATTCCTATGAATAAAAAAATCGATTGTTTTTTTTTTGAATATACCTATCACGCGTATCATCGGAATGTCGAGGTGAATAACGACGACGATATCGTGTTGAATCACGATCTCCACGTGAATATCGATCATTACCATTACTATATGGTCCACCTCGACGACCACCTATTGTTCGTTTACGTGCAAATGAAACGCCAACTCGAGAATTATCAATCATTCTAATTCATATATAAATATATCATATAAAAAAAAAACATATATATATTATTTTTTTGAATTTCAACTTACTTTCCATCCATTGCTTGCATTGCATCTTCAGCATCATCTCGATGTTTAAAATTCACAAAAGCAAAACAAGGTGGATTTGTTGCCATCCAAACCTTAATATATTCAAATTATAATAAAACAGATATTTTATAAAATATCAAATATACTTCATTAATTGAACCAAATTTTGAAAAAAGATTTTCAATATCACGACGTGATGTACGAGGATTAAGTGGAGAAACATGTAAACGATAACCTGATTCACCATTCCAATTTCGTGCTTTGGCTGCACGACCACTATTTAATATAAAAATATTATCCATTTATTAAATTACATTAAAAACAAAAAAAAAAAGATTTTTCATACGATGATGTTGATGAAAGCGATTTTGATCGTGATCTTGATTTTGATTTTGATGGAGATCTTGATGCACTTTCATCATGACTTCGATTTCGACTGTCACTCATTTTTCTTTTAAATAAATTTATCTGAAAAAATTAAATTCAAAAAAAAAACCAATTAATATCATTTACAATTTATAGTTCACTTGTCAATATACCTAATATATATCTCCCTACAATTAACAAGTTTTCACCATTCATTCCCGTCAGAGCCGAATGCCACATTCACTCAAAATTTTTTCTGTTTTTTTTTTGCTTATTTACAAAACACACAATACCATATCATTACCCAATGATATAACCATTAGAGAAGAGAACAAAAGAAAAAATAGACATGAAATTACCAAAATTCATTTTAGATAAAAATATTTAATCATTCATTGATAAAAAAAAATCTTTTCTTTTCTTTGATTGGATAAAAAAATATTGTGAATCTAGAAGAAATAAGTTTGAATAGATAAAAAAATTCAATCTGTTCATTCAATATAAAATCATCGTACATTGTCTCTGAAAAAAAACAAACAATAAACAAACACGAATTTCTTTTCCAACTTACAATGTTGAAAAAAAAGAAACATGTGCAATAATGATGAAATTACCACAAATGTCACATTTGTTTGTTTTTTTTTTTTTCATTGATAATATCATTAAAATTCTTTTGTTGTTAAATAGAATAAAGACAGTTTAAATGACCGTCAATATGAAGAATAACACAATTAAAAAAAGAATGAACACATACGGAAGCATATAATGAATGGAGATTGGCTAAGTTTATTTATTAGTGACATCATCATGTTTCTGTCTGTTTTGTTTTTCAATCGATATATAAAATGTGTTGAAAGTAATGCCATTGAAGCATATATTATGTTTCATTAAATATTATTTAAGGACACGAAAAAGATGTCGCTAGAATACAGTATGAAATATTTCAATATGAAGAATAAATTTCTCCTCGTCGAATTTTTTTTCATTTGCTTGATATGTACAAACCTTAAGATACATTGATATCACATGATTTTCTTTTGATAGACAAACACTTACATGAGTTATCTGTACATTCAAAGCAGTTTATACGAATGAAAACATTTGAAACAATTAGGTTACATGAATTTCGGCCTGAACTGAAAATTCTAGTTTCCCGAATCATTTTGAATGTAAAACAGAAGAAAAAAAGCGAAAAGCACGTTTGATGTATAATTAAAATTAGTTTCACACATCATAAAATATTGTTTTTATAGTTGAGAAAGATGATCAGATCCAATGGAGTATGACTATCACTAGCTTGCAATACGGACGGACTTTTGTTGTTTATTTGCGTGACTTGTAATATTTTCCATAAAATATTTCGTTTGTGATAATTCTTGCAGACGTTTGAACATGAAGTCAAACGCATGAATAAGAATATTAAGGGATGGAACAAGAAGTTCAAGCACCTGTGCTAGCCAAAAAGTCTCAAGAGCTTCATGAGCATGGAACAAAAAATTCGACTAGGACTATTGCTTCATACGTTTCTATATCTACCCTATTCTAACTCTGCTAGATTAATAATACCACCGTCCTACAAATTGACACTTACAATAAGATTCTTCCAATGCATTAATTACCAAAATCCGTAATATCCAGACTAGATAAAATCTATAGAGTTCCAAAATTGTCTAAGCACTGTTATTACTTATGCGCTTTTTCTGTTGCGTTGACAACATACGTAATGATCTTTGTCTGCCCTTTTTCCACCTCTGGTTGCGAAGGTCTAGGTGGACTGAGCCTCAAAAGCCCCGACTTAAACTTACACTCACTATTTGCTTCGAAAATATATATGAGTATTGCTTTATGGAATGCTTGTATTATAAGACTTTGCAATTGAGAAAAATAATTTTCATGAATGATGCGAGTTTCTCTCTCTACATTCATCATTCACACATGACTTTTTTCTTTATATATTGACACTTGCTATTTTTATAGAATTATATATAATTATTTGTACGTAATTTTAAAAAAGACTTTCTTCTTAATTGTTTTCGATCGGTAATGATTTAAATATAGAAGAGATCTGAATCATTTACTCAGAATCTAACGTTACGGAAATGAGTAAATAAAATAAAAAGTCTAAAATTGCATTTTATTCAAACGAGGGAAAAAAAAAATAGTCAAAAAGTTCTCTTTTGCTTTCTGTTTCTTATAACAAAGTAAAAACTTAATAAGGTGATTATGATTGACAAAAAAAAGAATAGAAAAAAAAAAAAAGGAAAGAACTATTTATTCATTGATTGCTTTTTGCTTTCTTCTTTTTTCTTCTTATTCTCACCCGTTTACACGTTCAATTTGAACGACAACGACAACATATCTAATTTATATTCTTCTTGAAACGTTGGAAAAAAGAAATCTAACTATGCCTGAACAAGAATATACTGAAGAGCAAGAAGCTGAAATTCTTCAACATGTATTTTTTGGTAAATTAGATAATCTACCAAATCTTGCATCGAAAATTGTTCGTATTTTTACATCATCAACATTTACAGGTAAAATTTCAAATTGAATTTAATATAAAATTTTTATTTTGTTGATTGTTGTTTTCTTTTTAAATTTAGATACAAGTATGGAACGTAATTCACTCATGCAACATACATATCCAAAACTTAAAGAATATTGTCGAGAAAAACATGGACTTGAATTTCAAGTTGTTGATATGCGTTGGGGTGTTCGTGATGAAGCAACAGATGATCATAAAACAACAGAATTATGTATGCAAGAAATAGATAATTGTCAACGAGTTGCTGTTGGACCAAATTTTGTGGTATGATAAAATTTTTCATTTAGAAATTAGTGTTTATTCTTTGAGTTTTTTTTTTTTTTTATCAAAAGTCTTTACTGTCAATTACTCAATTAGCAAAAAGAAAAGTGAAAGTTGTTTTCTATCAACAAAAGAAAATTTTTTATTAATGATTGTAAATATTTGTCGTTTGTCAGAAAGAATATATAATTTACTTCTGTGTTAAAAGTCAAAACTAGTTTATATGTCTTTCAACAGTTAAAAACAGGAACATAAACGGCATCAATCTAGTCGAATCAAAATTATTAGTTGAGCATAACAATATAAAATAGTAATTTGGATTTAGTTCTGATCAAAATATTATTTAAGATATACTTTAAATTCTTGATGTCTCCGTATGGGATTCGAATTACGTTAGACATAAAATACCTAGTTAGTATGATTAGAGTCCATTCGATTCAACATTTTTCAGACTCCGATTCCAACCGCACTTATAATTTCAATAAAAAGTTTGTAAAACACGATCTAAAAAAGTGTTGAAGTATATAGAGTAGAAATTTACATTCTTCTCCCCCACAGCCATTGACCGATACCTTAGCAAAACTCTCCCATATCACGAAAGGAGAAATAGCAAAGACTTCAGTCTTAAAGTCTAGTGAAGTCGTTAATCTAAAATTGTTGCGAAACACGATTTAAAGGAGTATTGAAATATAGAGTAGAAATTGGGACCTTTCTTCTCACTAGAGCCCATTGAGTCCAAGAATTTTTGGATTCGGACTCGATGGTCTCTACCTTGCACACAAACGTGATAAATATCTTAGCAAAAATCATATATCAATAACATCTCGTTATAATATATGAACTGGTTTCTTTTATTATATTTCTGAGGGATTAAGTAAAATAATGTTGAAGAAATGTGCCCTCAAATACTTACGATAAAGGAATCTTCCTGTGATTAGCAACAGCAACTATATCATGTTTCATATTTTAATCCTGCAGGAATTGCGCTAACAGCGATTTTTAGTCTGAGTCTAATAGTTACTTCGAATTCTGCTACTAATATATCCTACATAGTTTTCAGACAATCTTGTCGATGACTGCGTAATAATCAAGTCATAATTGGCTGTTATTTTTAGAGAATAACTCATTGGATCATCCTGAAACTAACTCAACGGACTCTAATTCTAATTATTCTCCTTGTATTAGATTAGCAACCTATGCAGAATTCTCAATTGAAAATTCGATAATATAATTTATTCATATAATCTTAGGTATTTCTTGGTCAAAAATATGGTTATCGACCATTACCAACAAAAATCGAAGAAGATGAATTTCGTATGATTATATCTGTATCAGATAAAGAAGATGCTAAATTACTTAATCAATGGTATAAACTTGATTCAAATAATTTACCAAGTTTATTTTGTTTACAAACTGTCAGTTCTATATTTACTAATTTTACTAATCGAGCTCATCCTCGTCTTATGGAAGAAGATCAAAGTCAATGGTGGGAAACAATGGGTAAATTGAATCGAGCTGTACGTGTCGCTGCTTTTGCACTTTTACAACAAGGTCGATTTACTGCACAAGATAATCACCGATATAATTGGTCGGGTAAGTAAAAAAAAAAAATATATATATATATATGTTTTATCAATGAAACACATTGTTGTATTTAGTTACTGAACAAGAAGTTGTACGAGGAATATTAAATGCTAAAGATAGAGAAGATCATACATTAGCTTTTTTTCGTCATATTGAAAATATAAATGTTAGTTTATTACGTCATTCAATGAAATTTATTGATATTGCATCAAAACAAGTTGATATGGAAGCACAACATATGTTATCTGATTTACGAGATGTTCGTGTAAGTTGAATAATAACGAAAAAAATTTTCAATATGAAATATTCATATATAGGTACCAGCAACATTACCTGAATCAAGTATAATTCGATATACAGTTCAATGGTCAGATGATGATGGTTTAAATAAAACTGTTCATGCTGATTATTTAAAAGATTTTATTGAAACATTCTATCGACGTATTATTGAATTAATTGATCGTGGTGTTAGAAAACAAAATGCTTTTTCAACAAATAGGTAAATTAATTGAATGATCTCAACAAAAATTTGAGAATATCTTGCGACATTATTGTCTCATAAAATAATAATTTTTTTCTGTCTAAACAAATATACAATTGATTCAGATGTAGTACTTACCCATTTGAAGTTTAGGTCTAAAATCTATATAAGATGTTAACTAGGAGAATAAGTTTTTCCGAAGTTTTAAATCGCAACTATGAAGAGGAAATCTAGATAAAATATTGTCTTATAAGGGAAATTCTTCAACTGGTTAATCGCTTTTAAGTTCGGACTCATTACTTATTGCTGTTGAGATACTGCATTTTTATGATAGTTTTTTAATATAATGCCATGGTTCCCTAAGGAACATAAGAAAACCTGATTTTCGAATTTTGATTTGAAGCTTTGCATAGAAACCAGCCTTGACGAGAATAGTTTATTGTGAAAGTTTCAGATTTTTTCGTTGTTCCTATGCCACAATACAACCACGGTAAAAGAACGTCTGTTATATCGCTTATCTACCCTCACAGATTCGATGTTCTTATTTCAGGATAGGAGTAGATCAAGTTAGCTGATACTTTCAAGATTAATTATTTTCGTAAAGGCTTGTATGTATGCAAAGCCTCAGATCAAAATTCGCAAATTAGTTTTCCTTATGTTCCTATAGGAACCACAGTATTGTACTGAAAATCTATGGTAAAAATGCAGTATCACAGCTGCAATAAGTTATGGGCTTGAGCTCTTTTCAGGGTATTCATAGCTTCCTAGGGTCTATATGATGCACATGTTTTCACTTCAAAAGTGATCAATCAGTTGGAGGACTTTCTTTGTTATATCGTATAAGGAAAGATAGCATCTCTGTAATTTTTGCTCTACATAAGAGGAAATCATCGATAATATTCTATCTAATCCATGGTTCGTTTTTTCTGCCCTTAGAAAAGTATTGATACCGAGAGCTACATACTTCTATGTGACTGTTTTCCTGAAATTTAGAGTATATTGCATTGAATTTCTTGATAACTATATATATATATGTTTCATATAAATAAATTCTTTCTATAGAAATTTTCTCTTTTTTAAAGAGTTTATACTGAAATTCTTCAACAACTTCATGTTGTAAATAATTTCAGTCAAGATTTTCAAGGACGTACAGATATTCTTGAACGTGTTCGTCATTATGTACAAGGTTCATCAAAACAACCATTAGTTTTATGGGGTGAAGGTGGTTGTGGTAAATCTAGTATGTTAGCAAAAATAGCTTCAGAATCTTCATCATGGTTTCCATCAAAACAATGTACACCTATACGACTTATTCGTTTTCTTGGTACAACACCAGATAGTTCATCAATTGGACCATTATTACGTAGTGTTTGTCAACAATTATGTTTTCTATATCAAGTAGTAGATAATACAATACCAGTTGAATTATCTCAATTAATAAATTATTTTAAACGTTTATTAGAAAAAACACCAGCTGATAAACCATTATGTATATTTTTTGATTCATTAGATCAAATATCATCAGCTGATGGTGCACATTCAATGTCATGGTTACCACCAACACTTCCAAATTATGTTAAACTTGTAAATAAGAAAAAGAAAAATAAGTAATGATTTTTTTTTTAATTAAAAAATTTAAATTTTTAGATGGTTTCAACATTACCTGGAATATTTAATATTTTAAATACACTTCGAAATATAATTGATAGTCGAGAAAATTTCATTCAAGTATGTATTTATGAATTTATTCTTTAAAAATAATCATTTTTTTTTCAAATTTAGATTAAACCATTAGGTGAAGAATTAGGTAAAACTGTATTAAAAGTTCGACTGTATCGTGAACATCGAACAATAACAGATGAACAATGGTTTGTAGCATGCTTGTACCGAATCGGACGATTCGAACTAGGTCTTAACTGCACATATAGTGAAATAAATGATCTAGGCATCCCAAAAGGAAGAATATCCAATCGTGCGGTATAGAGTGCTGTCCAGAAGCAGTTTCATTAGCCCAGTGTCTTCCTTACAACTATTACTAGTTATAGCTCTGAACAGAAGGCTGGTCGGATTCAGAGTTCTCTCACTCGATCACTTGAGCTCTCTATACACGCTGACTAGCCACAAGGGTCCAAGTATGTTCCTATATAGTCAGTATGCTTTCGAACGAATGATTTGAAGACAAATAACCGTTAGAGATTTGTCCAGGGTCGTGATGGGCACCGGGATTTGAACGCAGTACCTTGTAGATATGAGCTGAACAATGTACTTCCTAACAAGGAAACGTTTCTAAGTATCAAATTGATTTGACAGAGTGCCGTAGCCTTCATCAGAAACACCAGAAAAACTAGGTTTTGAGTTTCAGTTTGAATCATCTTTTTCATGCCGCTCATATACAACGGCCAATTCCAATGTTTTTATGTCAGAACGGATGTAATCGAAAAATCTGAAACTTTCACAATAATCTATTCTCACTAAGGTTTGTCTTAACGCAAAGTTTCAAGTCGAAATACAAAACTTAGTTTTCCTTGAGGTTCTAACAGGGCCTCACGGTGTCTTGCTAAAAAATCCAGTATCTCGACAGTAATAAACTATTAGTCCGAACTTTTTTCAGGATACTCATAGTTCATTAGAACCTACATGATGCTCATAGTCTTGATTCAAAATCAAATTGACACTTAGAAATGTTCCTCCGTCAGCCATGGTGACTTCATTCGAATCTTAGCAGAGCTATATTTGACTTCATTTTCCAAACATTTATTTTGTTAAGATTTTGACTCTGAGTGAGGTTCAGTAGGCTTAGAATTTTTACTGAATCTTAAAGTATATTCATGATTATTTATGATAGTTCCGAGAAATGCTTAGGATAATATCTAAATATTCAATACTGTTAGTGTACCGGTTAGGTATTTTGGATTCTGTGTATATTTAGTTTTGTAATTTATTTTTATTCATAGATTTTAAAATGATTTAATTTTTAATCAATAGGGCACTTGTTCATGAACGTCTTGCTGAATGTAATAGTCCGTTATATGTTAAATTAGTTTTTGATGAAATAAAATTATGGAAATCTTATACAAAAACACAAGAAAAAGATTTAGCTAAAACTGTATCAACATCAATAAATAAATTATTAGGTCGAATTGAAAATCAACATGGACATATTTTAGTTGAACATGCTTTATCATATATAACAGCATCAAGATCAGGTATAAGTGAAGCTGAATTAGAAGATTTAATATCACTTGATGAAACTGTTTTAAATGATGTTTATCAATATCATTTACCACCTATTCGACGTATACCACCATTATTATGGACACGTATACGAAATGATTTACCAAATTATTTAGTTGAACGTGAAGCAGATGGTGTTTCTGTTGTTTGTTGGTATCATCGACAATTTGCAGAAGGTTAAAAAAAAAAGAAAAGTCCTTTTGTTTTTCGAAAGAAAATAGTGCATGTACGACTCAAGTCGAAGTTTTCTGACAGTCTTTCCTCTCACAGATGTGGGTGTAGTGTGTCCCTGAATGACAGAAAACATAGTGACAATAGCACTCACGTTTTCAGTCACAGCTGCATCCTACACTCACGCCCTTCGAAGTGCAGATATAGAGCAATAAAAACCTAATGGAAATCGCAAATTTGCAATAAATATTCTGTAGAAACCATTGATTTTAAAAATCGGATAATAATTCAAGATGATTTTATTCAATCAATAACGTATTTCTTTTTGAATTTTAGTTTCTCATGAACGTTATTTAGCAAATCCTGATACACGTCGAAAATATCATTCACAAATGGCTGATTTTTTTTTGGGTATATGGGCAGGTCGTCCAAAACCATTTCAATTTTCTGATAATCAAAAACGTATGTTTAATTTAACATCAACTGATGGTGAAGCTGATCGTAAAGTTCCAGCTCAACCAGTTATATTTACAACAAATAATAGAACATCAAATGTTAATTCTTCAACTATACGTTATAATTTACGTAAACTAAGTGAATTACCATTTCAATTAACACGTGCACAACGTGAAGATGATTTATATAATCATGTTTTATTTAATTATGATTTTATACATGCAAAATTATCTAGTATGCCATTAAATAGTTGTATATTTGATTATGAAAATTCATTAGAATTTAATTTTGATAAAGAAGTATGAATAGTTCTTCTTTGTAAATAAGAAAATTTCCTTTCTTTTTTTTTTGAATAGGTTAAATTAATGAGTGATGCACTTCGTTTATCAAGTTCAGTTTTAGCTGCTGATCCAAATAATTTAGTATGTCAAATAATTGGTCGGCTTCTTCCATTTTATACAACATGTCGTAAAATAGCTTCGTTTATTGATCAATGTGAAAGTATTGGTTTACAACATATGGGTCTTGTACCAGCTTTTAATACATTACCATCACCTGGTGGACCACTTGTTTATTCATTAGAAGCACATCAATTTGCTGTTTATGGTCTTGAAGTTGTTTCAGCTGGCCAACATCTTCTTACTGTATCGAATAAATTTATTGTTTTTGATTTATCAAGTGGTGATATTGTACGAATAATTGATCCAAGAATTGAAGGTATTATGACATATTTATCTGTTGGACCTGATCAACGTTATTGTGTAACAACAACAATAAGTAATCAATATATTATATGTAATTTATTAACAGGAGAATTTATTTTACGTGATTATCAAACACCTGGAAATGCAAATAAAACTCAAGTTAAATCAGCTCTTGGACAACAACAACCTTTAGATCCATTATTAGGAGCAGCTGTAAGTAATACACATTTTGCATTATGGACATCTAAAATGTATCAAGTATATACAAATAAAGGTAAAGATATGAATTTTATTTGAAAATTATAATTAGATTTTTATTTTTAATTAAAATTTAAGGTGAATTACTTACATGTCAACCAACACGTTATCATATAATTCAAATTGAAGTATTACCTGGACCAGAAATTGAAATTGTATGTCGTTCTGAAGAGGTTAGAGATGATCAAGAAGTACCACGTGATCGTTTTACAATTGATTATTATTTTATTACAAATTCTGATCATTCAAATAATACAATAGATAATAATGAACAACGTTGTTTAACTGGTGGTCATAAAAATTTTCATAGTGCACTTGTATTAACACGTGATAAACGACGAATGTATACATGTTGTGAAATTAATGATAATAATGTTGAAGTATATGTTAATAGACCACATCCAATTAATTATTCTACTGAACGTATATGGGCATTTGATCATCAATTATTCGAAAATAAAGATCGGTAATTTTATGATAAAAGAAATTTCGAGAAATTATTCGTAAAAGAACGATGAAAGCACGAAATATTTAATAATTCAAAACAAAAAATATAAGTTTTTCAAATCCCGAGTTATAAATCTATATGACTGAATTAAGTGAATAACACAGCCGTTGGTTATTTGTTCAAGATCATTCCATCGCTAGTAATATACTGAAGTTGGAGCATAGTGTCTTACGGATATCCTGCGGAACAACATGCAACTACTTAACCATGGTCTACGAGTAGAGGATCAATATATTAGAATAACTTCGAAAAGAATACATACTTTTATTGATATTTGGCGAAGATATCGAATTTTAATCGGAAACTTTAACCAAATAAAAGTCTCGATTAGAACAGCTTGTAAAAAAAAACCTTCTCAGAAGCTGTAAAATTTATTTTTACAAGTTAGTCTAATCGAGAGTTTTATTTAGGCAAAATTCAGTAATCTAATTTTGCCAGAAAACTTAAATCTTACAAGGAATATCCACTGAAAATTCCAATAAGAGCACGTATCATTTTGGAAATTATTCTAGTCTAGTGATCCTCAACTCCTTTCAAGGTCAAACAACCATTATCATTTCAGATGATTTTTTCTCCGTTTCGATCGGCGAAGTATTTCGCTGTTTTGTAAACGATTGGATCAAGAGGAGAAAAACAGCAGATTTCAAGATTTCGTAAAACTTCATGAAACGTCAAGACTTCCTACTATCGCCTGAACTGTTAATGGTTTGAGTTTTTCATCAAGTCCTAAACAATTAGAAAATGGAATAGATATATACCACATAAAAAAAAACAATTGTGAATACAGGACTGTCCCATTTTCACATCTGATTTGGTATTCCTATTCAAAATTAATTAACAAAAGAATTATCACAATTAAATCTGATTGATGATTTGAAAATGAAGATTAACACCTTTCACTATTTTAATTATTTATTTTTTTTGTTTTAGTATATTTTCATTTATATTAAGTAATGATGAAAATTATCTCATGGCTGTTACATTTAAAGGTTTTAAAATTTTTTCATTTCGTTCCTATTTATGGAAAACATGTTTATTACCTGGTAGTGTACGTAATATAATGAGTGGTACTAAACGATTAACATATACTGCAGCATTTTCACATGATAATCGGTTTGTTTTGTTTTGTTTTTGTTTTTGCTTCAAAATATTGAATAATAATTTATTTTCTAATTTAGTTATTGTATAGCTTGTGTTAAATCAACAGTTTATGTATTTGAAATTGATTGGGGAGAATTATTAGTTTCATTAGATTCACATTTTGGTCGTATACTTGTTTTAAAAGGTTTATCAACAGGTAGTGGTGGAAATAATTATGTTATAACAACCGGTATGGATAAAACAACAAAAGTATGGAATTTAGAAAATGCACGAGAAAAATCTATATCAATATCACAAATGGATAAAGCTATTGAAATGTTACATATATCAACAGATACACAAATAATCATGGCACAAACACGTACACAATTATGTTTATTTGATATGAAAACTGGTCATATACAAGCACAATTAGTTGCTAGTCAACATGGATCAATATATCAATGTAAAGAATAATGATGAAAAAACAAAAAAAAAAAAAAAAAAACATTTTTTTTTTAAGGTACACTTTTGTGTTCAAATGGTTTATTTGGTGCAGCAGCTGAATCAGGTAATTTTGTTATGTGGGATATTGAAGAACGAAAAACAACATTTATAACACCAATTAAAAATATTTTTCAATTACTTCTTCATACGGCTGAAACAATGGTATGAAAATAATAATAAAATTCTCAAAATTTTAGGCTTTTTTTTTTTTTTTTTAAAGATTTTAGTTGTCAGTTGTGAACCAATGTCTACAATTGTTCCAAGTGCAACAAATAATTCAAATTCAAATAATGCACAAATTGGACAAATTGTTCGAGCTATTTCATATGCAATACCTGATGGTGATTTAATTTATGAATTATCATTTAATATTAAACGTATGAATGAACCAAAAAAAACTATATGTACAACTGATGATACATATTTAATATTTATTGAAGAGAAAAAAAATTTTGATGTTCTTTCATTATATGATCCAGTTACTGGTGAACATATGCATAATGTTAAATTAAATTATAATGGTTATAAAGATATTATTTCAATGGTTATGATACCAAAACAACCTTTTCTTATTGGATTAATTGATGTAGATAAAGGTGTTGTTATGAATGTTAGAGATAAAAAGGTATAAAATAGGTTTAATTATATTGGCATTTTATATAGCCAACATAGAAGTGTTGATTAGGTTTGAAGTTAAAACTTACAGTCTCGACTAAAAGATGCGCAGGACTAAAATATGAAGATTTTCGAGAACTGGAACTAGAGAAAAAAATTTGTCCGAACCTGAACTAACAGATGGGCCGAAATTTGTGCGACAAAAAATGTTTGTTTATTATTGGCTTCCTTGAAAGTATTCTGGAGGCATCAAAATCTATGGGTTATGACCAGAATTTTGTACTCTTTCTAAATCTAGACTTAGAAATTTTCTCGAGACTAATGAGATGATTTTTTGAAAGGTCCAAAAAGTAGTTTGAACAAAAAAAATTTTTCGTACACTTTTGTGCTTTCATTATTGCAACCGGAAAGTAAATGTTGACACTCTTATTAATATATCAAATTGTAGAGCAGATGCTACCCTTATAAAACGTACTATTGAGACTTTTTTTCTAGAGTAGTGTGGGTACGGGCAGTAGCGCCAGGCGGGTTGGATCCAGATCCGAAACCCTGGGACCCGATGGTCTCTACACTACACGTTTCTCAGACAACTCGTCTGAGAAATACTAAGGCGCGCTAGTCACCAAATACAAAAAACGCGGGAAAAGTATCTGGTGTCTTTGAGTCGATTATCTTATTCTGATTAGAAAATTTCATTGAAAGTATCAAAGTACAATTCGACTGAGTCCAAAAATCTTGGACCCAACAGATTCTAATGGGTGGAATGTGGATTTGGGATAGAGCCCATCTGGTCCCAGAATTTCTGGATCCAGGTAGGATCCAATGGGTGCTGGTTTGGGATGTGGGTGTGGTGTGTCATTGGATGATAGCGAAAGTGACCATAGCACTCATGTTTCCGATTACAACTGCACCCTATATCTACACCCACACCCATACTCTATTCAAAAGCAAAAAGTGAAGGAACAAAACCTGAGTTTGTTTCCATTAGATTTTTTAAATTTTAACTTTACTCAAAAATAATAATTTTATTAATCATAGGTTCATTTAACATTACCAAAATGGAGTGGTCAAATATCATCTGATGGTAAATATGGTTTATATGCTCCTACTCGTGGTGGTCTTGAAATATTTGAATTTCGAAATGGAAAAGTAGTTCGTACATTAATTGGTAAAGTTGCTGAAGGTGTATTTGATGTAATAACATTTTTTACTCCAACCAATAATCATGTTATTTATTATCATAAAGGTAAACGAACAATACGTATTTTTCGTTCTATTGATGGTCGACAAATAGCTGATATGAGATGTCCAGCAAAAGTTCGACAAGCAATAGGAACATATGATGGACAAGCATTAGTTGTTGGTTATGAAGATGGAGCTGTTCAAATGTTTTTAATTGTTGATCCATTTGAACAAAAAAATACAACATATTTAAAAGAATGGAGACAACAACAATTAGAATCAATGATTGAGCCTGTACAACAGGAAATAATTGATAAACAACCAGAATTAAATACAATATAAATTTGTGTTATTTTAAAAATGAATAAAAAATTGTTTTTTTTTTTCTTTCTGACTATAAAAAAAACCAATTATCTCACATAATTAGAACTGTTGATTGTTAATAAGCATCCAATGGATATATATTAACTCATTATTTACTTATTATATTATAAATAATAATTGAGTCATTGAGTGTAACTGAAAAATGTTTCGTATTATTGCATTTGAGAAGTTATAAATAATTGATATATTATTCTTGATCATTTTAAATATATATATATATATATATAACGCCAGGAATAGAAAGAACAAATTATTATAGTTACTTGACAATAGCAAGACAAGAAATAAAACAGATTGACATTTCTATAGTATTGATAATGGGTATTTGACCACTTTTCGTTCGATTTCTTTTATGAGAGGAAAAGTTCTCAACGTGGATGATTCAAAATTTAGTGAGTATACTTTTATACAATGATAAATGTATATATCAAAATTATTAATCGATTTTCTTTACAAATACAAAATAATAGAGAGTAAGTTTTTATTTATTTGTTGATAAAAAAAATAACATGTAACAAATTTTGTACTCAAGCAATTTTCCTGTAACTATATATCATATAGTAACTAACTGATTACAGGACTATCAATTACGCAGTTTGTTAATACGATAGAATTTTCTATGTCTATTACTTAGGATTTTTCCACTTATATTTCATATGTATCCAATTATATACTGTATAAATGCAGAGGACTATTATCAGTCAAATAACCAGATAATTAGTTGTTATTTTCTCTGGACACATAAACCAGAGTATCCGAATTAGGTCTTTTCTAATTAACATTGCCATTAGACAACAACACATGGATGAAATCAACGACAATGCGAGTATGACTATCTTTGACTCTTTATAAGGAATATTTTTCTTTTGAATAAGTTCTTTTCCTATGAATATATGTAAAATTATTGGTTCTTTCAGCTTAAATCTAATTAAACTTAATTAGCAAATAACTTCGTAATCGTATGGTAAAAAAACGTCCAAGAATTTCAAAATTGACTCCATGTCAGAGGTTATATCAATGGTGAAATTTGCAACAAGGCCGGACTTCAAAAAATCGATTTTCCAGAAGTTTATCTTTGCCCCAAAACGAGACCTTTTGTTTTGCTATCATCTTACGATCTACAAGAAGAATTTATTGTTGGACTTCTCATTCATACCTATATTGTATTTAACTTTAATTCACGTCTAGTTGAATCTAAGAATTTGTAGAGTTCACAAATGTTCTCAATTAATTGATCTGGCCATAGATATTATTTAAAGTATGTATATATTACGTTGTTAAATTTTATTGAGTTAAGTTTCAAGCGAACATAATGAAGGATTCTTTGACTTATGTATTTCCTGTGCGATAGAATAATAAAGGCTAATATTTATTTGAGCAATAAAAATATTGAAATGAGCAATGATTTGTAAGCAATAAAAAGAAAACTTTATCTGAGCAATTTTATATTCTTAAATGGACAATAATTAACTCATTAAATAGCAGTAGTAATTTCATATTTTACCTATAAAAAAAAAAGAAAAACTACATTAGTTTTAGTTACAACTGAAAATAAAAAAAGTAATATATTATTGTGTCAATAAAGCTTTTTTGCTTTAAATGATCTGCCTCTTTTTTTTTTACGTATTTTTATAAATAAATGTGTTAGATTCGTAATATGTTCTTGTGTATAAGCTGTTTATTTCCGAAAAATAAGAGCCTCCGTGTTATCACATACGTAGATATATGTCTGAGATTACGGAATATACCTCAATGATCATATGAAAGGAAGAAATGAAGAATTCAAGAGAAAGCAATATGGGAATGTACCTGATGGTTGGGATTGCATTGGATTTTTTGGATTCGACTAACGGATTGTGAGCCATTCTATCATCTCGAATAACAGTTCAGTATTCGAGATGATAGAATGGCTCACAATTCGTTAGTCGAATCCAGAAAACTCGGTACAACTTCCAGCCTGACAAAGAGAAAGATAACGAAAATACACATGTATAGTATAATACAACTCTCTCTTATAGCACATCTTTGGAATGTGCCATAACAAAATCAATCCATATTGCCCTTTTTTATATAAAATTTACCTTTAATTTAAATAAATTATTGCTCATTCAATATATCTATTGTTCATTGAATATATTTATTGTTCATTCATTATAGTTACCATTGATTCAATATCATTATTTGCTCATTCAATATAATTATTGCTTATTCAGTAAATTTATTGCTAAATTTCATTATTGCTCATTTAAATTATGTTATTGTTCAATTAAATATAACTCAATAATAAATGTTTTCTTCAGAAATTTGATACTCAATAAACAAAAAATTGTCAACTTAAAAATAAAAAATTATATTTTCTTATAGGAAATGAAAATTTATTTTTAAATTAAATTTAATTAAAAGCGAAATCTGTTTAAAATTCATTTTTATCTGTGCCGCTCAGATCAAACAATTTCATTTCTGTTAAATTGTGGAGCAAAATTTTCTCTTCAATTTAAAAACTTTTCAGCATGTAAAACAGCTGCAAAGTTATTATTGACTATAACGATTCAAACAAAGACTTGTATGTATCTGTGCACCATCTCAAAATTTGAATCTGGAAGAGACACACCATATGACGTGCGGATGTTTGTGGGTGTATGTAATTTATGTCATCCATTAACACCCACATCAATAATACCCCAGCTGCTTAAATAGAGTGAAAAGAAGAAGAAAGGAATGATTATAAACGAAAGAATATAAAATGGAAGAAAGATAAGAAAACGTATACTTATGTCACAAACACGTCTCTTCTGATATAATATTAACAAAATAATTATCTAATTAAATGAACACTGGTAGGAAAAGAATATACGATACGAGTTTACTTGTTCGACGACTTTCAACGCTTACTATTTCACATATTAATTAAAGTAGTATCTTACAGTTAGATATATGTAAAATATTAGAATAAGATATAGTCACCAAGATTCAGGGTCTGATTTCCCCCGCTCGGCACACACCTATTCGTCAGACTTTTTTACCCGGGCACATATATATATATATATGTTGGACACTATTCCTCTACCGAATGTAAGTCAATCGATTTCTTTAGCCATGTGTATTTCGAAGTCCTGTTTAAGTATGTCACTATAATACTGGATTTTGCTTTTATCTGAGTGTTATCATTGAAAATGATTCAGATGTTGACCACAATTCCTCATATTGAGAACATTAAATATTAGTTGCAAATTTTTTATAGTATAACAATTCAAACGAATGATAAATGTATTTAATCATTGTTTTTTCTATTACTCATACTATGATAAGATTATATATTTGTCGTCACATTCTAATCTATTGTTTGATGTCATATGAATAGCAGCGACATCTTTTATTTTTTTAATCATTTCTTTATTCTTTAATTTGATCTAATTTCTCTACGAATCAATGCTAAGGTGTATGATGAAGATATTGATATAAACATTAAAAAAACAATAATAAACAAAGATTGATTGATCTTTCTCATATTTAAATGTTTTTCAAATCGTCATCAACGAAAATGTTTGAAATTCATGATGATAATACAAATGATTACTTTAATTCTCGACATAGAACACAATCAAGTTCACATCTTCGTTCACCTGATCTTGTTTCTGTTAAACCAATGTCACCACAACAAGATCGATCTTCACAATTATCAGCAACATCATCATCACTTACTACATCAAATATTTCAAAAACAAATTCATCTCCATTTCTTAGAATTTCTACACCAATTCAAAAAACAAATAGTTCACCACCTTCTGATGATCGTTTTGTTATGACAATCATTAGAAGTCCATCGACTAGTTCTCAACGTATACTATCAACAGAACCGATAGGACCAATAATAACAAATGAAGAATCATCAAATAATAATAAATTTTTTAAAAGTAAAGTTACAGCAGCATTGAATCATATGAAATATCGTAAGTTCGGATTTATATTGTTTTCTTTTAAACTTTTTTTATCTTACAGGTTGGGGAGTTAGAATACGACCAAATTTTCGTACAAATGAATCACCAATATATTTCCTTGGTAAAATATATAATGGAAAAGAAGGTAAATGATCGGAATGTAATAAGAACCATCTTTAGTGTTACTCTTCATTCATGACGTATTTGATGTAGAATTTCACATAGAAGATATTCGCAAATTGTTCCACAGCAAGACATTTTGAACCAAAAAATGATATCAATCGACTATTCATCCTACAGGCCATTTTTCGATAAAGAAAAAAAAACAACTTGCGATTTTGACAGCTTTAAAGAACGGCTACAAAAGTATAAAATTTTTAATTTATTTAGAAATGAACTTTGTTACTAGATTTTCTTTTATTGGTATTCAAAAACGTGAATTTAATTAGAAAAAAATCATTCAAACATATTTTCTGAACCTATGAAACATTATTTTGATTAAATTCATCGTTTCAACTGCTTCCTTCGGGGTGCATCACCTGAGTTTTTCGAGAAAAAAAACCATTTTGAAATACATAAAGCGACTCCACTTCTTTTTTACGTTAATTCCAAATATGTTATTCATTTTGAATTAAATCGTACTTTTTAATTCTAATTCTCTTATGTCATCGAGTTGACCTCTAAAAAAAAGTGCAAAAGATTAATATTATAGTTCTTCCTTCAAGCTGTCATAATTGATCAAAGCCTCATGCTGTTTTATTTCCTTTCTTGAGATATTAAAAACTAATAAAGAAAACTAATAATATAACTATATGATTCTAATGCTGATTTAGAGCAATATTTAACCTCTGTTGCAAAAGTCTTTAGACAAAATGTTCGTTCGTTTTCCGATCACTTAAAAGCAATTAGTGGGAGTCAAAAGCAGTTAGGAAGACTCAGAGTTTTGTGCTCTTTCCGAAAATGGACTCAGAAATTTTGTGTCTGTTTTTGTTCGAGAGTAGTGAGGACATCTTTGAAAGACCTAAAAAATTAGTTTGGACGGAAAATTTTTTCGTACATTTTCACTATTGGGATCCGAAACTAAAAGTTGAAATTTTTGTTGATAAATTAGCTTGTAGAGCAAAATTTACCCTACAAAACGCACTATTTGACTTTCTTTTTATCTTCCAATAAGGTACCTAAATTTTCGTTTTTCTGTATCACCCTCATTTTGGAAAATCGACTTTTTGACGAAAGCGCGTTTTACGTAGAAAGTAGTTCTTGAGAATATGCTTATAGGTTCAAGCTAGAGCTTAGTGCGATATCACGTTTTGTAAAGAAGTGTTCGCTCTACAAAATCACCGACTCCGACAATTTTTAGCACCTTCGCAAAGGGATTTATGGGAGTTAGCAAAAACCCTGTTTATTCGTCGTCCAAACCAATTTTTAGACCTTTCAAAGATTCCTTCACTTCTCCCAAACAAAAACAGACATCCAATTTCTGAGTGCATATTCGGAAAGAGCATAAGATTCTGGTAATAACCTATAGTTTTCCACTCGTCTAAAATACTTTCAAGCATGCCAAAAAAGAACAAACATTGTGTCCAGAAACTTCGGCACACCCGTTCCGTCCAAACTAATTTTTTAAGCCTTTCAAACATTTCCTCACTACTCTCGAACAAAAACAGACACAACATTTCTGAGTCCATATTCGGAAAGAGCACAAAATTCTGAGTCTTACTAACTGCTTTTGACTCGCACTAGTTGCTTTTAAGTGATCGGAAAACGAACGAACATTTTGTCTAAAGACTTTTGCAACAGAGGTTATTTCAGTACTCAACAACACTTCAAATTGAAGTTTTCATTAAAAATAACCTGTAGAATGAGTAATTGTTTGACACACTTTTTTTCGATTTGAAGTATCTTGCTGTGAAGTAAATCATACAGCTGACTCTTCTATGTATACACCTACGATTTAAAAGTACGAGTCCATGGTCCAAGAATTTTAGATCCAACAAGAGTTCTACCGCCCTCTTCGTTTGTCCTTGATTAAATTCAATTAATAATATCGTTTTGTTTTCTTTAGAAACATCATACGATGATATACCTCGTCCACCATCTGAACAATCTTATGCAAATTTTTTAAAATCATTTTCACAACGAATTTATTTTTCATATCGAAAACAATTTGAACCATTAATGGGTTCACGTAATGGAGATATAATTACATCAGATGGTGGTTGGGGTTGTATGATACGTTGTGCTCAAATGTTACTTGCTCAAACATTCCTTATACATATGACAAATACAATTAATTCACATTATTCAAATATTCAAGTATCAGATAAATGTATGATGATTTATATTTATAAAAAAAAAAATAAATAAATAAATAATAATTTTTCATCCACATTTTTTTATTATTGTGTTTTTTTTGTTTGTCAAGGTCCAAAACGAAATTCAATTGATTGTATTCGAAATGGTAATCGTATAAATCGTCTTTCAAAAGTTTATACTGATACTATTCGATTATTTGGTGATTTTCCAAATCCGAAATGTCCATTTGGAATTCATAAGTATAATATCTTTAATGTAAAATATTTAATGAAAATTTCTTTCTTTTTTTTGTTTTCAAATAGAATTGTTGAACTCGGTACATCACATGGTATTCGTCCGGGTGATTTTTTTGGACCAGTGAGTGCTGCTCATTGTTTAAAAGAAGCTATTCAAGCTGCTATCGAAGCAAAACAAATGCCTGAAATACTTCGTATTTATATTAGTCAAGATGCTATTGGTAAGATATTAATCATTGTCTTTGTTGTTGTTTTTTTTTTGTCTCATCTATCTTTGTTTTTTATAGTCTATCGACAAGATGTTAATGATTTATGTAGTGCACCATTATTAGATCATAATACTAATACAAATAAAAAAACTTCAATTTATCCATCATTAGATTCTGTAACAACAGAAAATAATTCTGCACGTTGGTCAACAGCTGTATTAATTCTTATACCAATAAGATTAGGTTTACATGAACTTGATTTAATTTATGAAGATTATTTAAAAGAAGCTCTTAAATTACCTCAAACAGTTGGAATTATTGGTGGTAGTCCACGTCATGCTGTTTATATAATTGGTTTGCAAGATGATAATTTTATTAATCTTGATCCACATTTTATTCAAACAACAGTTAATGTACTTGATGATACATTTGATACATCGGTATGAAAAAAATTTTTTTTTTTTGTTTAAAGAAGAATATTTTTCTTTTAGAGTTATTCATGTTCATCACCAAAAATATTAACTGCAAGAAAAATGGATCCAAATTGTACATTAGGATTCTATTGTCGAGATAAAGCTGATTTTGAAATGTTCAGTGCACAAGTAAATATTATTTTATTTTTTTGTTTAATGAATGATTAAGATAGAGAACATTAATAGATAGAATAATAATTTAACAAAGAAGTTCTCATAATAATCAATTTTCAATCATCATAAAAGAATTTAATACTCAACAGAATCTCACTTTCATGAATATACACAAGGCAATTCCAATGGAAAAAGATATGATGATAGAATTAATTACTTGCATGTCTAAATATTTAAATTTGAACAGTCTGAAAAAAAATTCAGTATTGCTTTCTTTTTATCAATGAAATCAAATTCTTTTTTATCTATTCATGATAAATCCACATTATTATTTCATGTTAATTTAAAAAGAAAGAAGATTATAATAAAAGATATAATTGTTCGTAATAATTACTCATGACTTAGAGGACGGTATTATAATATTTTGTTTCAAGTTTATATAATTATTATGTTAGTAAAAAAAGAAACACTTTTGATAAAGAAAATATTTGATAAGTTCAAAATCCTTCATTATCATAGTAACTTTCGAAGATTAATCAATGTATCAAAATTCTAAAATCTTTAAAGTTAAAATTCATATTATTATTATTATTATTATTATTTTATTTTTCTATTATTTAGTGGAATCATGTGTGTCATATGGCATCTGATGATCGACGTACATGTCCAATATTTCGAATAGAACGTGGAACATTTCAAGAAAGTCATACACGTGCATTAAATTGTGATTATCCATCATCATTAAATGATGATGAAGATGTTTTTCTTCGTGTAACTAAATTATCATCGGCAAATAGTTCACCATTACCATTAACAAAAAAAGTTACTAATAATGGAAAAAATTTTCTTATTAATCCATCAATGAATAATACTACATATCGTGATTCATGGGATGATGCTGGTCGATCATTGCATGATAATAGCAATGTACAATCACATTCTATTTCTGATGATTATGTTTTTCTATAATGAAGAATATTGAACTTCGTTTTTTTTTTTTCCCGAGAAATAAAAACCAAAATCTAGTCAACATTATTGTACAATGAGCCTTGTTGTTTTTCTTTTTTAATGTCCAAATTAAAAAAAAAATTTTTTGTTTGTGAGTGCATACGGCATGATATATTTACTTATTTATTTATTTATTTATAAAAAATGATTTGTGATTTGTATTTATAAATTTATTTTTGCTTTTAGATGATTTCAACAATAATTATTATTTTGTGAGTTTTTTTAAAGATAAGTTTTTTTTTTAATATTTAGAATTATTATTTAGTACTTTATTGATCAATGCAAGTGCTATAATTAATATTAAATTGTATGTCTTTTGATTTTGCTTATTTGTTTGTTTTTTATCACATCTTATTATTGATAGAAAACGCAAAGAAGTTGGTTTCATAGTTGAAAATCCATCTGTTGGTAAGAAATGTAATTAAAAATTTTAAAGAGTGATATATTTAATATTGCAATATGATGAAATAAAGGCATATTATAAAAGTATTTTTTGTTTTGCGCTAACCTTTTAGACAACTATTCGACAATTAGGTCTCGGATTGTCCTCTAAAAGTATTCCTCCTCATGAACAATTCAATTGTGCATTAGATTAAATCAGATCATGGAAATCATTATTGAGATCGTGTTTCATGGAAGAATATTTATGCCTTGTTTTAAAACAATTGATATTTGAGTTTTGAAGGTAGAAAGAAGTTATATGAATTCAGATTTAACGAATATGATATTTTGTTAAAAATACATTAATATCTCATGCTTCATGTAATCTCGCATTTTTATAATGAAGATTGACATCTTAAAGACCGGTCTTTTATTATTTCTCTGCTGATATAGTTTGAAAATTTGTATTAGGCAACTATTGGTATGCTAACTTCCATCTACTAGATTATAATGGAATGAACTTGATGAAATTAAATTTTGTAAAAAAAAAAAATTGTCTGATCTCTTGTTTCGATGATATTGAATTGTCCATGAATTAGTTTACAACATTCCAACTTTGCAAAATTCTATTGTATTTTATCATTAGGATAATTCAAACTATGATTTATCACCAATGATAATGTAGAATACAAGATGAAAATCAGTCTGTCCAAATCTATTCAGTCAATAACGCCCTAATTATATATGAAATTATTTTCAAGCATTAAGAAATTGACAATGCACATTCATTGAACACAAAACTTGATAGAAGTTTAAACAGACAAGTATAATTGAACTAATAACTAACGAAATCTGATGTTCAATGAGAATAAATTTCAATTATTATTGAAATAACATGAAAAGTTTCTTCGATTACATCATTTGAAGAACAATCTGAATAGATTTTAAAAATTTTTTCGCATATAATCCTAAGTATATATGTAAGCATCATAATAGAAACATTCCATTGAAATTATAACTTTTAGAAAAGTCAAACGAACAATCTTTTGAAATGTTCTATATAATTTAATATATTTTATTATTTTTATATATTATAAATAATATTACTTCAAGGTTTTTTTTTTTTTGACCTATAAAGAGAATCTATATTTTGTATGAAAGCATAGTTGAAATAATAGTATCAAAGCAGAGAATTATTTATTCTATAACTAAAAGTGAAGCACTAAAAAAAAAAAAGAAGAAAAATTGTAGACGAAATTGTTTGTTTTCTTGTTTCTTTGATAAAGAAAAGTAAACAAAACATGAAATGATTTATTAATTAAGGTCTTCAGTTCATGTCACATATTTGTTTGCATTACTCATAAGTAATGATGGTATACCTACTGTAGATTATCGATTGGAGAACAACAATTTATATGTCACAGTAAGAATATCGACGATAAATCTTTTTTTGATCGTGACTTTTGTTTTTTATTATTGAAAATAGCATCTCGTGACTAACAATATAATTATTGTGTTCGAGTTTACAGGATGCTGAATGAATTCTTTTTTTCTATATTTTGATTGTATGTTGCTTGAAATTATGATTTTTAATTTGAATATAATGATTGTCAATATACGAAATGCTAATTATGATCATTTTCTTTTTTATTTATAGAAATAAGTATGAGTTTTTATGGTTTTATAATTTGAAACAAAAATGATGATTTTTTTTTTAAGAAGCAGAAATTGAACTGACTGGAAGCCTTTTTATTCTTTTATTTTCATTGGTTTATTTTAGGTGATAAAATACGTGAATTTCTTATAAGTCTTCAATATTTTCGAATATTTATTGGTCTTTGGAATATATTAATTATATTTGCTATGTTTACGTAAGTGTATATAATTAGTTCTCATTAATCTTTTTATGTCATTTATTTTTGTTTGCTTCCTTCAAGTATATTTAGTTATTAAATTAGTCTCCCGCAGATGATTGATGAAACAATGTTAAAATTGATATTAATATGTTTGTTTTTGTTTTTTTTTCTCTTGATAGATTAATTCTTTGTGGTACAGAGAACAAAATAATAGTCTTATTGATACATCTATGACATTTATTTTGTTCATATAACTGCAGTACTGTGATCTTCTTGTCTGTTATTCTATGAAATTAGTTTCTTTTCAACATCTAATTGCTACTGGTCTCCCGTCGGTATATATATATATATATATTTATTTCTTCTTTTGATAATCACTTCTTTCTTTTTTTTCTTTTGTCACATATGGTTCATTCCCAATATAACATATAAATGGAAGTGTTCTGTTTTTTCATCATCTCTTTTCTTTCACATCCACAATAAAAGAAAAAACTATTCGTTCTTCTTTTCGTTTTTTTTTTATGGATATATATGCGACTTATACACATCTTCTCTTTCTTTTTTTTTTCGCTTGTGCCCTTATAATTGCACGACCTCGAAACATCGACGTTACCATTTGCAATATGTAAGAATAATATTAATGGCAGTAAACACATGCCTACAAAGATGATTGATATATATATATATATATATATACATACATCTACAAGCAAAATAATCTCATTGGTATATCATCTAATTTCAGATCGATTTAGTTCGATTATTTCAGATTGACTATCGAATGTATATCGATGTCACCACAAGCAGCACGACAGCAAATGGTAACAAAATCATCATATGTGTCAGATATTGAAGCACGAACAAGACTAAAATCTCATCATCGTCGTTATCAAAAATTATGCACAACAGAACGTCTTCCAGCATTGTTTACATGGGTTCTTTTATTAAGTACATCATTTACATATTGGTTATGTATTTTACCAGAAATTAAACATCTTTTACCATCATATTTACCAATTCTTATTTTACATTGTTTTTTATTTGTTCTTGTTTGTGGAAATTTTATTCTTGCAACATTTATGGATCCAGTAAATTTTATTTTTGTAATAACAAAAATAAACCGATTTTTTTTTCTTTTCATTTACTAGGGTGTTTATGAACAATCATTGAAAAATGAAATTTCAAATATAAGTTATTATGTTCGTCCATCAAAACGAAAAGGTGTCTTTGATACAGATGATGATGATGATGATACATATGAACCTCCAGCACGTATTGTTCATATTAAAGAAGGTAAAATTTATATATATATATTTTTTTTTTCTTGAATATCACTATATTTAAAATTCTATTTTTAGGATCAATTAATATCAAATATTGTCGAACATGTAAATTTTTTCGACCACCACGATGTTCACATTGTTCAACTTGTGAACGATGTATTGATGTAAGATTAATCTTAAATTGTTTGAAACAAAAAAACAACAGAAAAAGAAAAGAGTCTATTAAAGAATTCTTATGTTTATTATTTTATGAGATTATGTTTCTTTTTTTATCGCAATAAAATATAAGATTGTTTGCAAATCTTACCAGAATAGAACATCGCAAAAAAAAAAAAGTTTAAAGTACATACTTCAAACAAACAGCTATATGTTGTTTTTCTTTCAAAAGTTTAAAATAGAAATCACTAAAAGATTAGGTTAACCAACTACGAAGAAATTTTATACTTTGACAGCGGGCATTAGGACTGTTATTTATAAGATTTCTAATTGAATTTATTTCTTGTTTTACTGGAAAATTTTCCACTTACGAAAGAACCATTCGAACTGATACCTGCCATCTGATTTCATATTGAGCCTACCATAGAAGGCTCGGTAAAACGAGAAAAAATCCTAAAACGATTCGTCCTCGTGGACCTTTGGAACCAAGTTACGATCTTTTTACCAGGACTGCCAACTCTAGAGTACAATAAGGCACGGAGTCAACTAAAACTTTTGTTGAAAGTTCAGTTTTAACATATGAACTTTTTTGAATAGATTGATTCACTTTGAAGGTTCCAACGACGTCTCGTCAAAGTCTATGAACATGAAAGAAAATCGGAATTGAGTTTGACTTCCACTTTGTTTTGTACTCCAACGCCTCTATAAGTCATGGTTTGAACCTCTGAAGTGCATCAGTTTGTACAGCAAATATCATCGAATAAAATCTACTATTCAAATCAGTTCGTATGTTAAAGCTAAATTTTCGACTAGGCTTTAGGGATATACACTGAAAAATCAAAAACTACAGAATTTCAACGTGAAATTTTACTCATAGATAATTCGAGTGACCCGTAAAATGTCCTGAAAATTTCAGCTGAAAAGAATATTCTTTCGTTAAGATATCGAATTTCCAAAATTAATCATTTGCCTCGGGCATTAAACAAAAATCAATCTTACTTAGAAATTCAATACGTCGACAAAAAAAAACATCTTTTTCGGTTAAAACTTTCAGGTGATTCTATGAATCATTAGACTGTTCTATGTGAAAGATTTTACGTCGAAACTTTGCTTGTTGATTTTTCGGTATATACCTAAAATTGGACTGAGAATTCATTAAAAACGATCCTAGCTCGGGTCCAAAGATCCATAAAGATAAATCCTTTTCGACTTTTTCTCTTCTCACTACGACATCATTGACAGGTCTAATATGAGCTCAAACAGCAGATATCAGTTCGAATGGTTCCCTTGTCAGTTTATCAAATGATTGTTTTTATTTTGAGACTAATCGATTGCAGTTTTACGACATAAAGAAAGAAAAAAAAATGAAATCCTCTTACAGTTTACGATATGTATGACTTCAAAATTATCTAAATATAAAATAACACAAAATAAAAATGTAATAGTTACCAAAAAAATTGTTCATATACTCTATTTGAAAATCTGTTAGGAAATTGTTTATCCTTTTTTTGTAATTTGAGTTATATTCTAGACATTCGATCATCATTGTCCTTGGATAAATAATTGTGTTGGTATGTACATAAAAGAAAAGTAATTTTTTATATGTTTTTTTTTTTTGTTTTATATTAAAATAGGTCGTCGTAATTATCGTTATTTTTTTCAATTTTTATTTTTACTCTGTATTCATATGATACTTCTATTTGGATTTTGTTTATATTATGTTCTACATGAACGTCATCATGAAATTATAACATCAACTCTTGTTTTTGATCCACATGATTCATTAGTACCTATTGATGAAAATGAAATATTAACATCACCTGATTTACCAAAAGCAAGATTTATTGGTTTTTCTGATTATCGTTTTATTATTTGTGTTATTTTACTTGTATTAATCGGTCTTTTTTCAATACCAGTTGGTGGTTTAACAGGTTTTCATATATTTCTTATTGCAAAAGGTCGTACAACAAATGAACAAGTCACAGGAAAATATCATGAACAACATGATGCATTTAGTAAAGGTTGTTTGAAAAATTTTCTTTATCTTTTTTGTCAAACATTAAATCCACAATTAAAATCACCTAAAATAAAACGTTATAATATTGAAATATTTGAAAAAATGGCATATGAAAAGAATCGTTTATCAAATGGAAAGAAAAAATCAGCCAAAAAAATTGAAACAAAAACAACATATGAAAAAATTAAAGACAATGATAGAAAACAACCAAAACGTAAAAAGAAAAAAATTGTTCATAATGATATTAGAGATAAAAATACAATATCTAATATTCATGTTAATCCATTAGATGAAAAAGGTAATAGTTTTATTATTAATCATTCAATTCATTTTGTTTTTTGTGTTATTTAGTTTCGAAACCTAAAACAAGAACTAATAATAAACCAATTAAAATTCCTGTACAACAAGTAAGTTAATAATATACCGACAATTTTTATGATGAAAATTACGCTCACATGTGTTCTCCACAGTGCCCTGCATGTGTACAATTTTTCATAACTGAATTCGGGACGATACTTTTTTTATATCCGAGTCCGAACAGTTGTTTACGGTACTCAACCGGAACTAACTGACATATGAAATTATACCTGGCACCTGAACCTATGCTCCGAGCTGAGTTGCAGGACACTAGCTGTCATGAAAATAGTCAAAATTCATCATAATGTATTTACCATTTTTGATGAGCTCATATTGGTATCAAGTTAGTTTATCAGAGATTCATGTCTACTTGATAGTGTCATAAGAGATAATAAAGCGAATGTAACATTAGAAGTAGATTATTCATGTAATGTAAACCGGATAAAAACTGTCGGTATACCGACAATCAACCAACGATAATTTGACACTTAAACGGTAGGCTGTTTTTTAACAGTTGCATGCCGATAGTTGTTCTCCGATTGACAATTTACTGCCGCTATATCGGCGGTAGTTCAAATCAATGTGCAACATGAGTATACAGCTCATTAATTATGTCCGTCTGACGGATAGTTAATTGATGTACAAAGCTAATCTAGAGTCCGAAGTCTTAAGAAGTTTTCTATTGTTCAATAGATACCACGAGAAAGAAAACTTATGGAAATAAATAATGAAAAGCTATATAGTAATTAAACAACACTCTTATGTTATTATTGTAGTGATTTGACGGCAGATTTTGACTAATTCAGAGCTTGATTTGAGTGTAATAGAATCAGCAAAAAAAAAAAGAACAAGAATGTACCATGTTGAGAGTCCGCCAGGTCCGATAATTTTGTACGTGGGTTTGATTGGATCCGATCTGATTGATTTCATCTTTACCGAAATTTTATTATCTAATTTCAATAATTGAAATTTCTTTAAATCGAAAACCTGTTTTCTTTTTTCAAAGCCAACGTCATCAAGTTCACCTTCATCTTCACCTTCATCATCTCCAATTCCATCGATAAAAAATCAACAATCAAAATCTAAAACAAATATACGTCATAGTTCATCTAATATGTCATTATCATCACGTTATTCATATGATAATATAAATGAGAATGAAGAATTTATATTTGATATACATGGTCAACGTCAACGACCATTACCTGTAACACCTATTGATTTACATTTAAATAATAATAAACAAACAACGAGAATGAATTCAATAAATAATGATATTCAAGGTGATGCAACATCAACAACTAGTGCTTTAACACTACGTACAGAATCTTATCGACAAGCACATCCATTACAATCATTTGCTTTCGATTATCCAAGACGACCATTAAAATCTCAATCAATAACAAGAAAAGATAATCAAAATGGAACTAATAAAAATTATGAAATAGCTGTTTAAGAATATAATTTCTGTGATTATCATCGCTATTTATTTTTTGTTTTCATTAGTACTGTAATATTTGACATAGTTCGATTTTCTTTGCACAAAAAAAAAAAAAAAACAAATAAATCTCATATTGTTGTTTGTTTTTTTTTCTCATTGTTTATATTGTTATTATTTCTTGAAAGAAATGAATACGTGCTGATGTATATGTATTTAAAAAAACTCTTTTTTTTTTTTTTGTTAAATCCTTTGTATTAATGTGAGAGGGGACGAAAACATTTTGTTTTTTGTTTACTGTTTCTACTTTATCTTTTCTTTAAACAAGAGAAAGGAGTATTGTTAATTTTATTAAAGTCTGTTTTTTTTTTTGTTCTTGTTGTTTTTTGACAATATCTTTAACTAACACAATTGTTAGTACATAATTTACATTGACATTGTTGAACAAAAAGGATATTTGACTATTCGTAGTTGTTTATCATTACATATAATTTTTATTTCACGAGATATTATAATATTTGGCGAACAATAATGAATATAACGTTGATGTTGATAAGGTGTTCTTCCAGATTGCCAATCATAAATAAGATAATCTTTTGAATAATAATAACTTCGACAATATGTTGTTTTGATTTGTATTGAAATATTTAAACAATTTCGAAGATTTGATATTTCTATATAAGATTGTACAAGATATAATGCACTTCGCCGATAATCATTTCGTCGAAAGACTCGCTTGCTGCTTTAGACTGTTCGAACCTCCTTAATTTTTATACTAGCTTGTTCAGCATGAGAAGATCAACTCATTTTACCCACACCCACACTTTTGAAGCGCCGTGCGTGACCAGAAAATGCTTTCGATGAAGTGCTTTTCGGCGAAGAGCATACTTACCAATGAAGATGCTTTAATTCAACCAAATAAAAAATAATTATCAATTACTTGATGATATGATAAAAGTTTTATATATTTGCAGTTAATTTTTCATTTTCAAAAATCTAGATATTACTTTTCTGAATACATAGAAGAAATTATTTTAAAAAATATTTTAATTTTTGTTTTTTTTTTTGTTAAAACTTTATATGATTATTAATTTATGCTGATGATACACTAATGTCTGGGACTAAAGAAAAAGATCTGTAGAATACTATACTTTAAGTTAAACAACACTTTAATTTTATAGTAATAATAAAAAATACTACATATAAATATAAGTTAAATGCTCATTAGAATCAAATAAACACTTTGCCTAACTGAATTTCTTAATACAATGTTTCAATATGACATATCTATCAGCCTAATATAAATTCTATTATTAAAGCAAATCCCATAGTAATAATAAGGAGGAACTTTCAACTTTAGAACGCGATCGGCAAGATTTTATAAGAGCTTTGTTTGTTAGATTTATTACGTTTATTTAAACAGTCGGATCTATCTTTCGCAATATATAGCATCTCTTGACTGCACTAGAATAAAACCACATTTCAGAGCAGAGATTCTTTTTTCAGATTGTCTTTGCTTTTACGTTCAGTGAGAGAGCTTCATTTATCTTCATTGTTAGTCTTGCATTTAATAGAAAATGAATAACTAGGTTTACAAGAAAAAAAATACAAAATATCCTCGAATAAAATATATTAAGAGAGCTGATCTCTTTCTTTAGTCACAAGCATTAGTATCATCAGCATAAATTGATAATTATATAAAATTTTAACAAAAAAAAAAAATGAAAATATTTTTTAAAATAAAAAATTAACTCTAAAAATATAGGGTAATCTAAAAGTAACCGTGGCAGTCTTTGATTGCAAATAACTTTTGATAGAAATAAGATAGAGAGCTGGAGTTTTCACTGTTCGAAAGAGGAGATGCCGGAAAAATGCTTTCTTATAAAGTAAGAAAAAAGTAAAACAAAAAAAGTGATCTTTTTGTCACAGAAATTAATAGAGAAATCAACTTACAATTTCGAGCAGAATACCTAGAACTATCAAAATCTAAGCTTTGAACAGTTTTGTAGATTTTCAACTAGTCGTTCGAATACACACCTAATCACAAAAAATTCAGTGTAGTCACTTTACGTAGTACATTGATTGTCAAAAACATCAGTTTTAGTTCTTGAAAAACCTAGATCAAATTATTTTATATCGTACAGTTCAATGCATTTTCATCTCCTCTTTCGAACTGTGAAAACCGCAGCTCTCTATCTTGTTCCTATTAAAAGTTATTTGTAATCAAAGATCATCGAATTACTTTTGGACCATTCTATATATATAAAACATTTATCATATCATCAAATAATTGATAATTATTTTTTATTTGATTAAATTAAAGTAACTTCGATACGACATATATATCGTTACCGAATATTTTCCTTTCAATACTGATAATTCAAAAAAAATTGATTTATTCATAGTACAATATAACATAAAACGGTCTCGGGCAAATGAACGAAATTTCTATATAATCTGTAGTACGAAAATCTCAGCACAAAATATTCGCTAACTTTTCGGCCATTAAAAGATAACTATTTAGAACTAAAATCAAAATTTTTCACTATTTTCGAACATATATTTTCAACTTTTTCTTCTGAATAAATTTTGTGAAGTATAAAGCAAAATAGTAGTTTTAGCACGGTGTTTAATTAATGTCTTGCATTAACTTCAACACAACCTTATTGTTAAACATTGAATTCAGTACAAAATAAAATATTACAATAATCGAAAATTTCATCTATGCATTTCCACTAAAGAGTTAATTTTTATAGAAATTAGCATTAGTCAAAAAAGCTAATTTTAAACAACAAAAAAGTTTTTAAATCTGCCACGCAAAAGTAAATAACACATTTTGTATAGCAAGCTGAAACTTTTTTTGATATATATTATACACTATTTTGGATGGATATCATCGAGTTCAACTTGATCCGATCTCGTTTGAGATGAGTATATTTTTTTTTCTTTGTAGCAAAAAATATTACTTTGTTAATTTTTGTTCATTCTCACAAAAGAAGCTCTATTCCAAAAAAACAAACATGCATCTTTGATATTTTAAACAGTATTTAGTGCCTATAAAAAAATATTTTCATTTCGAAGAAACAAGAGAGCCATTTTGTCATATCATAATGATTTCAATATATCATAAAAGGCAACATTTGAAAATTTTGTTCTACTCGTCAAGATTTACCTACTCTAAAAATTTCAAATTTTTTTTTTTTTCTTGATAAGCTGTTCTCCAAAAACGCCACAAAGATGTACCTAAATCATTTGTTAATATGATTACACTTTTTATAACATTTGATTGAATAAACACAAGTATTGTTATGTATGAAAAACAAACTGACCGATTCATTGTTTATTTCTCAATAATATTGTTGTTAATTCTCTTTCAATAAAATAATTCATATTTTATATCTGATTGCCCCTACTGACTGACACATTCAATATGGTCATCATATATAAACTTTGTTAAATATATCATTGACTATCGTTTTATCTCACCCGATATAAATTTAAAAACATTTTATCTGATTTAAAATCTTTTAATGTGTTTGAACTCATTTTACCTCGCTATTCGTTAACCAATCATTCATAGTCAACAAAAAAAAAAAAAAAAAAAATTCTACATTCAACCTTGAACTTTGATAGAAAAGGTGAACAAGTCAACGAACGACGAGCGAGGAAATGAAAAAAAAAAACCAATTGACCGACTAAATACAATATTTGATTTAAATTTTCTTTATTTTTTTGCATAAATCTTCGTTTTTTTTTGTCATCATCATTTTGAATAATAAAAGATTCTTTTTTTATCTTTGAATTTTTTTTTTTTTCACTACATCATTTATTTCTTTTGCCAGTGGAAACAACAACAAGAACAAATATAGTAATGTTAATACACATAGAAATAGAGTTGTTTACAAAAAAATATAGAGCGAGACAAGTACACAAGTTCATACATACAAGTGTGTCATTCTACAACAATTAGTACACAGAAAAAAGAAAAAGAGAGAAAAAAGAAATTTTTTTTTTTTTCATAACTCGACAAAAAAGAAAAAGAGGATATTATTTAAATTGTTTAATCTTCATCTTCATCATCGTCTTCATCATCATCATCATCATCATTATCTTCTTCGGATGATTTTGATTTAGCTGATTTTTTTCCTGCAGGTTTTTTAGGTGATTTTTTATTTGATGCTGCTGCTGCTGCTGCTACTTTTGATGAACCTTTGCTTGCTGATTTAGCTGGTGAACTACCACCACCACTTTTCTTATATTCCGAAACACGTGCTTCATATTTTTGTTTTTCAACAGCAGCCTTTTGTTCATAACGTTTTTTAACATCATCACTATACAAAAAAAAAACGAAATTAAATGTTCAGTGTTTATATGTAGAATTAAATATTTAACTTACCTAACTTTTTTCCATCGTGCACCAATTTCTTTTGAAATATCACCAACAGACATCGATGGACTTTTTTTCTTTATATCTGGACGTTCATCTTGTGAAAAAAGAAAAAATGCTGATAATGGTCGTTTTGGTGCATTTGGATCTTTGCTTGCTCTCTTCGATGTACCAGCAGCACTACGTGGCATTGTTAAATATTTAATTGTATGTATATATAAAAGATGAATCTAGAAGAATATGTATGTATACGATTGCAACTGAATTTGAACACACAAAACAAATGAATAAATATGATCTCGCCTTGCTCTCTCTCTCTCTCTTTGACTATGAATGAACAACGAACAAGAGAGAAATGTGACCTAGTCAGGCAGTAGTGAATAGAAGAAAACGCACAAACATGACGTGCCTGTGTCTCTCGCTCGGTCGTTGCTTTCTTTTTTTTTTTTTTCAACATAAAGCAGTCGACTATATGTGTGTGTGTTCGTGTCCGCGTTTGTCTCTCTACGTCGAGAAACACACACGCACACACACACACATATACACAGCAATGTGAAAAGGAAAAGAAAGAATAGGGAATAAAGACGACGACAGCGCGAAACAGCTTGCCTGCTATATGTGTGTGTATGCATACATAGAAAAATGTAACAGCAGTGTAAAAGGATGAGAAAAATGGCAAATAATTTTGTTAAATTTATATTCGATGGGAGAGAGAGTGTATATGTATGAGAGAGGAAAAAAAAAAAAAAGAAGCAATTAAAATTTAAAATGATAATTGAAGAATATAAAAATGATTTATTTATTTTTGAATTTTTTTTAATATAATTTCATTTAAATAAAAAGAAAGTTGAATTCTTTGAATGAAATTTATGTTAATAGATATTTGTTTTTAACTAAAAAATATTTGTTTGCCTTTCGGCTTTATAAATTTACACATTTTCATTTATTACTTATGTCATGCTTTTTTGTGTTTTTTGTAAAACAACAAACAAATTCAAAACAGTTTATTTGCCTAAAAGGTTAAATTACGTTTTTTTTTTTCGAGTGGTAATTAAGAAAATATTGCTATTTGTATTAGTTTGATATTTTCAAGCAAATTATCTGTAGACGTAATCATATTTAGGTAATAAATAATTGTAGGTAAAAAACAAACAAAAGAATACATAGTTGACAATAATGTTTGCATGTAAAGTATTGTCATCGCACACTACAATAACAATATCTTTTGAAACTAGAAAGCTGGTATATTGTTAATATTACATGTAATTTGACTTGTCTTTAATTTAACAAAAATAAAAAAAAAAAAAACAACATTCGATCTAGAGAAGTCGTTTAATAATTTAGAAGCAATTGAAATGCTTATAAAAATATCTACAGAATAGAAGAAATTTTATGGTGAAAGATTATATTCAAGTCAATTACACAATCTATGTTGTTCAAACGATTTTAAAAAGTAACCACTTAAAACTTTTCAGTAAAGGAAGGCCAGATAAAGAAGAACGGAGTGGAAGAGATCAAATATTTTACTGAATTTTTCAACAAAAAAACTGTAATTACGTGAAAGATCGACATTGCATGGATAGTGTTTTTAATGGGATTTGTTGATTATGCAAGTTTTAGCTTTTCTAATAATTCTTTTGTGGGTATATAAATATATGTGGCTTTTACACATGAGAGAATTTTGTATATATGGACAGATTATTTTGATGTTGAAATAATTGAAGATTATGCTACATCAGCAGATAATTATTTTATGGAACTGGCATATGAGATTTTTAAGTGTTATTGGTATTGAATTTCATTTTTTGTTTTTAGATGATTTTCTCCTTATTAAAAAATAAAAACTTTGCAATAGATTATATATTTGTTTGTTGTTTATGAAATATATATTTATTTAATGAAATGTTATTTAATATAAAAAGGTAGTAGCATATTTGAATAGGTAAATTCTTTCTAAAAAGTTGTTATTTCTATATTGAACGTTCAGGAGAGGGAGGAATAGTGTTGTGCATGGGTATGATATTTCACAATCGAATCTATATCCGAGCTAATCGACATTCGGCAGATACTTACACAGTCACAATACAATTTGCAAATCTTTATTTTATATGAAAAAGTATACTATTTAGTTTCTTCCATAAACAGCAATAAAAAAAAACAGCAAGTGATTCAGAATTCATTTAATGTCTTTCTGCTTCGAAAATTCGATCAATTTCGATAAATATACGTTTGTTTATTGCTTATGGCGCTCGAATGGAACACAATATTAATGCCAAACATCCTAATTGTGGATATATACATATTCATCTTTTTTGATAATTCATTTTTCTTGACAAATATTGATTTACTTCATCATTTGTAGATGAATTTTCATAATAAAACAATGTCTGCTTTCACATCTGTGATCTGTTCTCAAATACAATAAATTACTCAATTATAATCGAACCGATTTTCACTTCTGTGCTTTTACATAAATGAGTAGTGTGTAAAAATAAAAATATTTTGAAACCTTGAAATCTTTAAAATTGTAGGATATTCAAGCCGGTTGCTGAACACTAAAGAAGGACAGTAGGGAGCTGCGGGTCCACAAAAACGTGTAACCAGATCCAACAAAAAATAAAAGACCGGACTCGGACCCGAATCCGGTAAGGTCCGAGTCTGGAAGGATCCGCAGCTGCCTAAAAGACAGGAATCAAAAACTGTGATTTTTATCTGCGTGCCCTTTATGAATGGTCTTTTATAATCATCTCAGAAGAATATTATTTAATATGTTCATTATACTTTTGATCTGTAATCAAATTTTAAAATATATAAATTCTAGTAGTATTTATAAAATTAACTGTTAAATAAAGAAAAATAAGCAGTAATGAGTTAAAATAGATTTTGATATCAATGACGAGTTCAAGTAAAAGAAATATTATTATATCGAAAAAATTCTGATGAATTCACAGACTAGTGAATGTGAAGGAATGTGTGTCAGCGACATACACAATCTACGTGTATGCACCAACGAGTGCTGTGGGAAATTTTAAAAAATTTTTCATTTGGGAATTTGAATAAAGAAATTTTTCTCTTGCAGTAATGAGTACAAGTCTAGTATACAGTTTCTGTTATTTATTTATTAATTAGAAAATATTAAAACAAGTTTTTCTTTTAATTGAATATACAATCCATTTACTTTTTTTTAGAATGAAAACTATTTCTATTAATTAATGATTAATAAAGACTAGTTTGTTTTTTTTCATATGACTTTTTTTGGTATGTTAAGTAAATCGATTTCTCTTTTGGTTTCTTCGAGTATATAAGCGAAAAAGAGAATTTGACTTTTCTTTTATTTTAATAGCACGAAAATTTTTCGTTTTTATGATAGATTCTGAATTTCTGATTTTTCATAAGTATGATTTCATTTTTTTCTTCGTTAATGAGAAAAAAAAAGATGCTCATTGTGAGATTCACTCAAGTGTAACGCATATGTACTATATATGCGTTTTTAATATTTTATGTACCTACTCTTTGTTTTTTGCTTTTAAGCATTTGATTTTTACTCTCTATATGACAACAGCAAATTTCTCTTGATTCATTTCTTATAACCAGCTATACTGATTCTATTGGTAAATATTTTTCCTAAACATTCTGATACATATAAACCTCGTTTAATAGTTTGTAAATTATTCTCTTATGGTCGTATTTAGGATTTCTTTTGTTAACATATACTATCATTATTTATCTGAAAAAAATTGAACAATTAAAACCATATGATGAAGTTATTTATTGAAGTTTCAATAGTTCAAATAGAAATTTTGGTTGTTGATACAGTTATTGATTTAATTGAACAACCAAATGTAAGTACAATATAGATTTTATAACTAAAAGAAAATATCAAAAGATATTAGTTTGAATAATAATTTTTTTGTATTCTTTAAAAAATTGATCATAGCACATACAATTGCAAAAAAGAAAAATCGAATTTGAAGAGTCATTTTTGCTATTAGTTTAATATTCATGCTATATCAAGTTATTCTAAACATACACAAGTTAAACAATTAGTCTATTCAAGCCAGAAGATCTTTGTTAATATTAAACTTTTTTAGTAAATGAATTTTGTAATTTGCAAATTTCATTTATTAAGTGTAATTAAATATAACATGTTTATTTAAGTTTAAAAGATAAATCAAAAACTATGATTTAAGGTCCCTACCTTTAAACATTGTAAGACAGCTCGAGATCTGATCTTTTATATATGACATGATTTTTTATTTCGCATTTCCTTTTTCTCCCGAGAACTGGCGTCATTTTCTGCTTGAAGAATACGGTTTTTTTTAGATAAAATTTGAAAATCTTTTTGGTTCTTTCTCTGTTTAGGTTTTCCTTGATTGTGTACCCCACAATTCTAGCGGAAGCTTCATTGTAGATAATGGCTTTCTTTGTTGTTTGAAAAAGCATGTCGAGTATGATAGAGTCCGTTTTTTTGAGTTAAACTTTGTTATTATTGTTATTATATAAATGAGTAGTTTTATAATTAGGGCGTCATTTTTTGAGACATTGAACTTTTTTCCTCTGAAAAAGTTAGAATTTAAAAAGAAAGATTCTATCATGCCCTGCATCTTGACATGCTCTTTCAAACAAAAAAAAAGGTCTGTAGACCAAAGACTCACAGAGAATTCTGAGTTACCAAATGAGCTATTTTTAAGCCTTATTTGTTGTATATCTCCCGAAAACATCATGATATAAGGCTGAAAATTTTATCAGTCTCTTCACTGCAGCTCCAACATATCCTAAAATTTCATGCCATTGGAATATATCTGCGGCAAAATCGATTTTTGAGGGGAGAGGGGTCTTAAGTATGAATGTTTGATCATCATATATATTTAGTTGAATGAATATTATCAATTCAATTTATCAATTATTGTGACAACTGTTTTGAAGATATAGAAAAATTTAAGCAATTAAAATATAACAAAAATATGGTTTGTACATCATGTTCAGTAGATACGATCTTTATCTTTATCTTTATTTGAATTTCTTTTCATTATAATGATTAAGAACAAAAAATCTGATCTATCAGATAAATTATCAGATCGGAAGAAGAAAATCGATCAAAAACAAAATAATTAGCTAAGATCAAATAAACACGATCGTTTTAGATGATTTTTTTTTGCCATTTGATAGGCACATTATTACAAACATATTT